GGTTCAGTGGCGAGAGCGCGAACTTACTGATTGGAAGTGCCGTGGTTCGAAACCGACCTCCGCCGTTCCACTTCCCCCATCCGGGATTGGGCAACCTGGCAGCATCCAAGGTTGCATCGTGCATCCTTTGCGTGGTATAGCCGCTAGGCACCGAAGGGGTGTTACAGCGGAAACATTTTCACTTTATTTTCTATTTTATCTCCTTTCATTGACGGCATCATGTGTGATTCAGAGGTGTGGATAGACTAGATTCGTTTTGTTTTCATTTCTATATACATCTCGAATGATCTGAAAACCACTGCAGAACTTATTCATCCACAAACCTATGCAACGGTAATGTAGCAGGGCTTTCTTCAGCTAGACTGAGTAGACTTCAGTTAATTTCCTCATCCGAGAACTCACTCACAAAGAAATCGCGCAAAACCGGGGGAGGGGGATTTGGTCAAGAGTTGGAATCGGTGGGAGCATTTCACCGGGGTAGGGTCCCTGATCTGCTTGGTCGGTCTGAGGCTTTGCTGATTCCTGCAATCGCACACCTGTTTCATTTTCAAGGAACAAATGTGCTGGGTTGAGCAACGTGGACTGGTTCACCTGATAAGCCCGTAGTACGGCAGATCTTGTGGTGAATCTTGGGGAAACTTCAGTCGTTTTATGTGTTGTTTCATATCGATGAGATTACGACGCCATCTTGCAAAGTGTCCCAGTGCAATTTTTCGAGAGTTTGATCCATGGGAACGAATCGGTATCACCTATGTGCGACGGACTGCTCGGGATTTGTTTACGAATGCTTTGAATCCAACTGGACGCCTACGCTGTAGCATGGAATGAGCTATATTTATTATTTATTTATTTATTTATTTATTTATTTATTTATTTATTTATTTATTTATTTATTTATTTATTTATTTATTTATTTATTTATTTATTTATTTATTTATTTATTTATTTATTTATTTATTTATTTATTTATTTATTTATTTATTTATTTATTTATTTATTTATTTATTTATTTATTTATTTATTTATTTATTTATTTATTTATTTATTTATTTATTTATTTATTTATTTATTTATTTATTTATTTATTTATTTATTTATTTATTTTTTATTATGTATGAACCAGTCCACACTGGGGGTTTACTACTTCAAGAAGATAGTTGAGCAGACTCAGAACGAACTGAAATGGAGCAGCGACAGTATACAAGGAAAGTTGAGTTGGCTGATCAACTTTTCGACAGAAATGACACCAATCTGACTTTCGATTGTGTCTGCAACACGATATCAGGCCTATACATGAAATCGCATCACAAAACTTGAAAGTAGATCACAAGAAAACAAAAACAGGGGGTAAAGAATTCTACATTTATGTCGAACTGAATGTAGCCTATTCAATTGGATGAGAATCGACGCACTTTAGGCCATAGGGACATGCAAAAATAACCACTCTGGCCGATCAGATATGCAACTTACCATCCCGACAGAGTACCAGGTTTGCTGAAGCAGGGAGATAGTTGTAGAAGGGGGCCGGAGTAAGTTTTGTGGTTAGATGATGTTTTCCAGCCCATGATGCTTTTATCTCGGTGTTCCCACATCGGCCGGAGGTGGGGAAAAGGAATCAGTTGGTTGTTAAGAACAAGCATGCTTTCGAACTTAAATCTCGATTGTGGTTTACCAGGAGGAGGCCAAATACCACCTGATTAGTTCCTGATGGGCAACGACCAAAAAAAAAAAAAAAACACAATTCTCGGATCTCTCTCGCCCTCGTTCTGAGAGGCCACACGACCGTGGTAATGTCTTAGAGGTATGTTCACTGTCCGACCTCAGAGATGCTTTCTTCAGCACTTGAAAATAAGAACTGATTTGGCCGGAGAGACTTTCAGACAGATTTTTACACATCATCTTAAAAACCGTTTGTGTGAAAAGTCCTTTTTGGTGAGAAGAATTGATGCTGCGGAAATTGGTTGAACCGAAATGGTTGTAAATCACTGGTCTAGTAAGCGAAGCATTGGCGTAATTTCAGCATTTTGTCACAGAGATTTTACGGTCACAGATGTGAAGAATAGCCTAGTGTGTCATTGTAGAGCGATTTTACAACAACTTACGTGCGCAAACCAAGAGAAGAACCACCAGTTGACGAAGCATTACTCTTCAGAGTGTAGACCCGATTTTCATGACAAAGGTTATCTCTGTTTATACAAAAATCTAAATCCTGCAGCGATCTTATTGGACAGCTCGTAGACGGCCAGTGATTGGTTCCTTGAATGGGTCACACTAAATGTTCTATCAATCGGTGATAGGAAGAATGTGTTTGGTACAGGCGGCTGTCATTCCTTCACAAAATTACGCGACAGTGAAGAAACTGTAGACCCGAGACGGAAAAAATAACTACCCATAATGATGGATCGATTCCTCCGCCTTTGTGAACATCGTGAAGATCACTTCGTTTTGAAGTGGACTCCACAAAGTCCCTGTCGAATATTTCGGCGAACCAAACTGAAAGACTGTTAGTGATGTCACAGCAACATATTTTCTAAGGACTGGGAGGACTCGGTCGATTGTGAGGCTCAGTGTTCATTCACTCATTCGGTGATCCATTTGCAAGTGAGTTTTCATAGCTGAACTTTGTGGACGGATCAGGTCGATGATCAAACCGCAATACGGTTGGTGAACTTTGCACAGAAGCAACGCACAAAATTGTGGGGCGCCATGTTGTTTTCCATTGTTCTTCGGGGTGTCGAAGTGAATGAACACCGTTTCGGTGACAAATCAGGAAATCGGAAATCAAATTTTGAACGAGCCAGAATTTTGGCTTCATCGGAAATTTGAACTGGCACTTCATCACATCTGTTTCACACCAGTCACCACGTCAGTTCTGGCACCAGCCACGTCGATGTGCGCAAAATTCCAATCAAGGGAAGAGTAGAGTCACACGTTGGCCACCGCTCCACAACCTTGGCGGGTAAAGAACGACAAAACCTGAGCAATTAAGCAGAGGGTACCAAATACTGAAAGGGGCAGAACCCATCGCTGCGTTATGCTGGAGCAGAGAAGAGTAGGGTCACACGTTGGCCATTTGGGTCACCAACAAGAGACGTAATACTATGAAAAGCGGGAGTTGCTGTGCTATGCCGTGTTGGATCCATCGTGTTGGATCGTGTTGAACATTGACAATTCCGAGTGGTTTGATGTTTGTATGTACGCATCAGAGTAGGCTCGGAATTCCTAGGTGGGGTAGGGGTGGAGAACCGTGTGAACAGTGCTGTTCATCAGACAGACCTTTGAATAATTCCAGAAAGCATACAACATGAGAACAGTGCTGAAAGAAGTGAGCATGCAGAAGTGTATTGGACACAAGCGCCTCGGTTCAGGGCTTCTCATCTTGAACGCAGTCTGCTGCCACCTGAAGTCAGTGAAGTCAGACCTGCACCGTTACTAGTGGCTACAGAAGGTTCTAGACAAGTTCCAGAAAACTCCAGACTGGCTAGAGGTGTCTACTCAGCTTAGCAAATGAGCTGAAATCCAGAAAGACCGACTCGCCTATCCAGGTCTTTCACTATCCAATACCTGTTCACAGGGCTCAAAGAGGGCCATTCCTTTGCAAAACTAGATCTTGCGTGGAAGCGTCACCCAACAACCAGCACACATCAATACAGGCGAATGCCCTTTTGAGTCAAAACTATGCCGTCAGCCTTGCAACCTGTTAACAAGTTCAGAAACGGTGCTGTTAAAAATGCAGGTCATTGGCTTCGAAATTCCTCTTATATGTGGTCAGAACAAACCCAGATAAATACGTCTAGCCTAAATTATACTTACAGGAATGTTTAAATGGTCCCTGAACCACCTGGTTCATACACGGGAGAAATCTGTAGGAAAGAGCATGTGATTAGGGAAAGATGTAGTGAACAAACTGTTGGATGGTCGCGGGGAGAAGCTAGAAATCCGTGTTCAACTAAACAAACTGAAGGTCGATTGTGCCGAAGAGACCGGGGGCAGTGAATTTTTCAAGTGCCTACTTGATTAGAACAATGTAGCACGCACCATTTTGCCTTAAGACACAACCTGAAGGAGCGAGACTGCGTTTGTAGGATGCAGGAGGAACAACGTGAAGTGCATTCAACGTGAAAACACTGGCTGTCGCGATAACCTTGGTACATGGGTTCCAGGTTCACCTGCATACTTAGGCCATTTAGGACACTGCTGGTGGACCTTGCAAAAGATCTGATANCAGCTTCCGGGAAGGTCGATTGTGCCGAAGAGACCGGGGGCAGTGAATTTTTCAAGTGCCTACTTGATTAGAACAATGTAGCACGCACCATTTTGCCTTAAGACACAACCTGAAGGAGCGAGACTGCGTTTGTAGGATGCAGGAGGAACAACGTGAAGTGCATTCAACGTGAAAACACTGGCTGTCGCGATAACCTTGGTACATGGGTTCCAGGTTCACCTGCATACTTAGGCCATTTAGGACACTGCTGGTGGACCTTGCAAAAGATCTGATATTGTGCGTCAGAGTGGGGTAGACATGTTCCAGTCTCACAATGGATAAATCAGAATGTTTCCGCTCATTTATACAGCATCTGGGGGGTCTTTCCAGTCAGTATGACCCTCCCTCCAAACCCGTATAGAATTAGGCGTCCTAGCCCTCAGTGGGACAAGTGCACTTTTGTGGTAACTAACCACCACAGTCCTTCCATGACCTGCAGACATGCTGGTCGGATGAGTGCGAGAAATCCTCCGGCTGTGTCGAAGGAGCTAGAGTAACGAATGGTCGGTGCAGAAAATACGTCGAGTTCCTGCTGGAAACGAAGGAACCATTGTGCAGGCTGGCCATCTGTTAGTAGCGGCCGAAAAGAGAACTATGGATAAACTGAAAGAGGGACATTTTTGTTAGACTAGCGAGTTCCATTCCGGGTTGAGGTGCCAGTGGATTACAGCGTTGAGTAACTGCGCTGCATGGCTAAGATTCGATTATCCACTGTTGTCAACTTTGGACAAAATGATGGCCTTTTTCCAACCACTTCAATTTAGTAAGTAACCCAGAAAACGATGTGATGACTTGCATCACTGCGGAAACGAAACAGGACCTTCAGACAGGAACGTCCGTCGTGCACTTCTATTCAGACTTTCTCATATTCCACGCTATCAAAAACGATCGTGTGTGTATCTGACATGAACAGAAGCTCAAGAACCATTTGCGACAAATCGTTCGATCTTGGAGTGGTAGAATTGCGTCTACCGTCTTCGCTCAAAAGTATTAGGACAGCTCCACGCTGGACACCGAGACACCAGCCGGATAAAAACTGTGTAGCTATATGTAATGGTCACAATTTGACAAACATTGAGCAATAGGTTAGCTCCTGTATAACTTGTAACTGTGTGGATACAAATACGTACAAATACGTACAAATACGTACATGGCACCTGTTGAATCTTGACCTAATGCAGGACAGCTGTAGTACCGCTCATACTCCCGATGACTTGCTCAGCCCCCCGCCTCCCCCCCCACCTCCGCACTAACGTTGTCACCTCGATTGGTGATGAAACGTCTGAAATACAAGTGACAAGTTCGGTGGACAGACGAACAACAGGCAGCGCACCAGAAGATACCTATGTTCCACAACACCACCATCGTCAAACCTACCTACTGACTTTGCTGGTCCAGCTAATGGTGGTCCCAGATATTTGATTTTTTCATTTATGGTCGACTGTCCATTTGGGATTACCACATTACTCACCCTCCAACGCCATCCAGAAACATCCGTCTGCGACGGTAGAAGTCAGTTCAGGTCCGCTGTTATCAGGTCGATAATACACATATTTCTTCGCCTCCGTATCACATTGTCAGGTAGAGCGTACTGTCGACACATTCAGACGAGCACCGGTCAAATCATGGGAATAGACCACCAAACACCTCGTGTTTCAGTTTCAGCACACAAAATCGGTTGTCAAAACCATAATTCCCCGACCGAAATCGGTCCAACTGGGATTCAATAAGAACATAAGGCTGATGGGAACTAAGAGACCGCGCCCACGTGATGATCCTCAAGAAGGGCGAAACCGGTCGTGAACTGTTGAAGATATTTCAACAAACCTATGGATGGTTTATTGTTTCACTAGAACAATAAACCAACAGTGATGAAACAAGCCCGAGGAGAGGGTTTTGAAGTACTGGTGGTTTTGGAAACATGGATCGTACAGATAGACTTGGGAGGATGAACCTGTTCTCACTGGATTATCGACAACGACTCCAGCTTCAGTCGTTAAAGTATAAAAATTAATGTTCAAAACGTTTCCAGATGTGTTGCAGGAGTAATGAAAACACTTCAGAATCGAAGATGCTGTTCAAGAGACAATTGCACCGGTACCTCCGTAGGCGGGAACCGGCCACTCTCACCAGCATCACATAACACCCTCCAAAACCGTCACCTCCCGCGGCATGGAGCAACCTTCCGACTGGCTCACCGGGAAACACCACAAGCTTTCAAGGGATCACCAGCTGCTGTCTAGAATGACCAACTGAGTACGATAATACACACACTTCCACTTTGTTTTCTTCTATCTTTCTGGTTTGCTGGCAATGTTTTACGTTTCGAAATGGCCATTTAATATTTCTTCATTTTGTCCTTTGGTTTTCCGGCCTTCGAGGGTGAGACGGCTCAATGGTTAGAACGCGAGTTTGCTGACCGGAAAGTCCGTGGTTCGAACCCGACCCCTGCATCTCGAATTCCCCCGTCTGTGTTTGGGCAACCTGGCAGTATCAAGGTCTCGTGCCTCATTACGGGTGGCATTGCAGCTAGGCATCGAAAGTGTGTCACAGCTGAACGGTTTTTTCGGCCTTCGTGATGGGGTTAGTCGGGTCATGCTGAAAGTAAACTGCGGAAAGTATTTGCGCACCGCCCCCTGTTCGTAGTGTTTCTCGTCAAACGAAATCGGGGTCTGTAAACGGGACTATGAACGCTTGGGACTATCAGCATGGCCGGCTACTCACATTCGAATGAAAAATCAACCCCAATTAAGTCTTCTTTGGGACGGTGCTTGAGGGAGCCAAAGGCTTCGCCACAGGCGCAAAATTGCTTTTTACTGGAGCAAAGTCCATATTGATGAGTCTCTCACCACACGAATCTCATCCTCTGTATCTGCATTATTCCGTGGCAATGACTTTGATATTCGGAACCAAGTAATGCTCCCCATGATTGTGCAGTTCTTCAATAAGCCGGAGAGCGTTTGTACACACTGGTTCGGTGGAACGGATCGGAAGGTTAAACTCATCGCGACCTGAAATCGTCGTTGGTTCTCATTTGTTTGATGAAGCTTGCTGTTCCTGATATAACTGCGGATGTGTCGTCAAGCTTATTTCTACCGAAGATGCCGGTGTGAGTGGGTGGGGGCTCACTTTCAACCTTGTGCAAGGATTCGAAAGAGCACAGCTAGCCTCCACACACTGTGAAACGTGACACAAGTGGTGATAAAATACAGTTAAATTTTTCTACTCACAAAACTGAACACAGCACTAGGTCTGTGTGGTTGACGCGTAATCAGGTCACCAGTAGTAACGTGTCCCAACCACTTCTAAGACTGGTTCTCACAGAGGTGCGTGCACCTTATGAGAAGTTATGTGTCACCTGAACGGATCACAATGCACAGTTAAGAATTTGTGCGATGATTTTGTTGACCTGATTTATCAGTTGGAAAACAAAATAAGTAAGCCACCGTTTTGTCATCCAGTTTATGGATTGTAGCATTCTTGAGCATGCCATCTAGTCGGTTGTGCTGTTTTTAGACACAAGGTGAACCGGAGCAAGTAGTGAAAAACTGCTTCAACTAAGCGGGCGCGCGTGACTGTCCTATGACTCCTTCGAAGTATCAGAACAACCGGTGTCTCGAACTTCATCCAAATGTCGAGGTCAGTGCAAATACCGCGCCAAAGGTCAGTGAGGGATGAGAACAGGGATCCACCTGCCACGAAATTCCTGGAAAGATTAAACACGGCAACATGGTGACGGTTACCCTCATGCCCTGTTGGTCCGCAACCGTAAACAACGAACTAGGCACGATGAAATAGGTTGTTCTTTCTCCATAGAGCGTGGCAACCACTCTCGACAAGCTGTACCGAAAGTGGATACGTAGCCGACCGAAGTGACCCTGTCTGGGTAAGTCCGGTGAGCTAGTGGTTACATCGTTGGTTCGAATGACTTTGATCCAGCTAAACGAGACCTGAGAGATCCTACGAGTGAGCATGTTTACTCGTTGGATATGATTCACACTTTTCACACTGTTCATGATGCAATTCAGGTGGCCAGCTGAGACCGAACGGATATCCAGACAACAGGGGCGATGCGACACGAAATGGCCGGATACGTAAAGATGTCATGTCTGCAGTGGGGTACTCCAGTAAGCGAGAACCGTCAGCACTTCTATAAACACGTGCACACGGACTCGCCTCTTCACGTAACGCTGTGCCATCTGTGGATTGTCTATTCACCTAAAAATTTCCCCCAGCCTAGTGAGAAAGCGCTCGCCAACTATGCAATCTAAGCTGACCAAATTAGCCCAAATCGAAAACCAATCTGTGGAGTTTGCCGACACGGTGGGCAACATGCTGAACTATTGCACCCAATCAGAACCTCGGTTTCCGGAAGTCATATTCCGATTGGGTGTCTCATTTTTGTTCGAATCGCGGTGGTGGGTTGCCATGTCTGTGTATTTGCTCGACTGCGCCAAAAATTCCCATCCGCTCGTTGACCTGTGCTTATAGAATGTCATCGGGTACCATGCAATTCCCGTGTTGCTCTGTGTTCAGTCTGTCCATTCTGCAACTTGCATCAGGCCAGCCCTAGACTATTGCCATCAACGATATCCCTTCCTCGGTGGCTCATTCATATGACTTCGTCCCTGCGGCAGTTGGGCGCACAAAGTTCACCTTATCTCAGTTGTACCTTGGCTTTATATTTCACACTATTTATCAGGATGGCATCCAACCAGAAATGCAGGGCCCGTAACGCGTCCCAGTCGGTGTTGACCCTGTGTTCTTTTTCTAGACCGGGTCTCCTGGATTAAATTTCACCTACTTTCACCTAATCCGTACTTTCGATCTTATCTGCAAACCTTCTTTTCTCAGGAGAGTTACAGAGGGACAATGTGGTGTAGGCTATGAAAAATGGTGGGCAACCGAGCACACTCCGAACCGCCCGAAGCTTGTTGTGGCGAAGTTCCAATCCAGCGCAGTCATACGAGTCTAGAAGTTGCCCATTGACTTCCCATGTCGCGTTTCCGTTTGGTAATCTACAAATCAGGCATAACGAAGGCGGATCCGTCGGATCACTTGACACCCGTCTGAGTGTGATTGTGCTTGTTCAGAACAATTTGGACGAAATCTACGTCGAATTCGGCCATTACATGAGAGTTTACTTTTCATAGACCATTCGAGGCCAGTTTTTCGACGATGTCAGTCTCTAAAAACGACTTGTAATGCACGGTTTAGGGGGACAAATCCCTATGAACTGGAAGTGGCCTTTACTGGACACACGATGCGCTGCTCGCAACTTCTGCACACGCACGATTCGGCCTGCGAACTATTCGCCATAGTGCATATACCCCATGGAGAATTGAGGCTGTTCTGCAAGATGGACAGCCTTGACTAATAACCAACAGGCACGAAGAGTCATCAAATAGAGTCCTTGATTTTTACATTTCAAAAATAACTGGATACAGTTTGATATAGATGGATAGGTCGCTCTACTCACTGGCTTCACAGGAGGCTGGTATGGAAGTACAAACGCATCCACATGCCTATACAAATGGAATTCAGGACAACTGAGGAGTACGGTGCGCATTTGTGCCACCGTGACCCTTGTTTCGTCTGCACATTTCTCTACCAGTAGGCCGTGGTTGGAAATTTGTAATGTGAAGCACACTTTAGTATTTTGGAATCAGATAGAGTGCGTTTAGAGGACGCGTTATAACCAGTGGGACAACGACTGTGTTGTTCCTCCGGTCAACTGGGAAATTTGCGTGTGAAGATCATCCGTGCAGACGAAAAGACTATTCACTTTGTGAAACAAGTGCTCATTTTGTCCGCATGATACCCCACTCAAACCTGAACCGCGTATATCGGTCGCATTGATTCTCAAGAGATTAATTCTACTGGAACTGTCCTTAAGTGGATTTGCACTCGCATCTTGAGGCGTGGGGTGTACTTTGATGGTTAGATTCCTGAAGCAAGCTGGATTAATCTAGTCTTTGCAGATAGAACGGAGATTCTCCACGACTGCAGATTACTCACATGCCTCATCAGTAGCACAAACCGACACACGTATTATTTTTGTTGTTTCCGAGCGGATGTAGTTAGAAGGGCTCCGACAAGTCAAAGCGGGACCGATTTGTGCGTCTGCTCTTCACCATTCTCAACTCCTCATTGACCGAAATGACAGTTGCGGGCACCCATCGAACACCAAGTAGTAAAAACTGCTTCAACTAAGGGGGCACATGTGACTCTTCGGTGACTCATACCAAGTATCAGAACAATCAGTGAAGCAAGAGAACAGAGATCCACCTGTCACCAAATTATTGGAAAGACTAAACGAAGCCGGCCATGCTGATAGACCCAAGCGTTCATAGTCCCGTTTACAGACCCCGATTTCGTTTGACGAGAAACACTACGAACAGGGGGCGGTGCGCAAATACTTTCCGCAGTTTACTTTCAGCATGACCCGACTAACCCCATCACGAAGGCCGAAAAAACCGTTCAGCTGTGACACACTTTCGATGCCTAGCTGCAATGCCACCCGTAATGAGGCACGAGACCTTGATACTGCCAGGTTGCCCAAACACAGACGGGGGAATTCGAGATGCAGGGGTCGGGTTCGAACCACGGACTTTCCGGTCAGCAAACTCGCGTTCTAACCATTGAGCCGTCTCACCCTCGAAGGCCGGAAAACCAAAGGACAAAATGAAGAAATATTAAATGGCCATTTCGAAACGTAAAACATTGCCAGCAAACCAGAAAGATAGAAGAAAACAAAGTGGAAGTGTGTGTATTATCGTACTCAGTTGGTCATTCTAGACAGCAGCTGGTGATCCCTTGAAAGCTTGTGGTGTTTCCCGGTGAGCCAGTCGGAAGGTTGCTCCATGCCGCGGGAGGTGACGGTTTTGGAAGGTGTTATGTGATGCTGGTGAGAGTGGCCGGTTCCCGCCTACGGAGGTACCGGTGCAATTGTCTCTTGAACAGCATCTTCGATTCTGAAGTGTTTTCATTACTCCTGCAACACATCTGGAAACGTTTTGAACATTAATTTTTATACTGTAACGACTGCGAGCCGTCCGTATTACAAGACTGGCCTCATATGAGATTTGAATAACGATCGGAAAACTCCCGGAATAATGTGGCTCAATGGTCCCATGATGATGGACAACGTTGACCTAGCGGCGGCAGCAGCAACGGCAGCAGTCTTACTTCGGGAATGTTCCACAGACTCCGGTATCACGGATCTCAATTCCTTTTCCCGGACTGTTTTTCTCAGGAGATAACCTCCTAAACAATGAACTCAAAGTGTTTGGGAATGATCGACTAGGGGCGTTTTGCATTTGTTTTTAACTCAGTGGCGTATCCCAGTCCTCGTAAACGTGGGGCAGGAAAGGCGGAGCCTCGCCTTAGGATCATTTGCATAGAAAGTAAACAATTCGAGCCAGGATAATGCTTCTCGTAGAAAGGCACCAGTGCACAACCCCTGCCTGTTGCGGGCAATGATGATTCCGGCAGTGACTACACGTCCACTGGTAATATCCAAACTCCGGTAGTTGACGTTAGATTCCCAGAGCAGTTTGAATTTATCCAATCTGTACAGATAATCCGTGACAGAATTCTTGCTGGTGCTGTTGTTAGTCAGGCCCCGGGTCGTTGGATGTCAAGTCCGCCTGAGCTAACAGGCACCATCAAGGTATGACAACTACGAATCGGTGCCTCCTTGTGAGACATTTCGGCTGATTAACACTTGCAAAAAGAAGACAAAGCTTGCGAGGTTTCAACCTGTCTGTTTTTAACAGCTTGTAGTGGGAAAATGAGCAGAGACGATGGGGGAAGATTTATGCATATTGCAGATAAGCAAAGCAGCACGTGTCCGACCAAGGTCGGATTCCTTGTGGTCAACACGCCGCGAACATTTTCGTTTGGGTCGTTTCATGAATCTGAGTCCTGACATGACGTACCATTCATAAGTTTGCTGAAAAGTCTTCAACAGCTCACGACCGGTTTCGCCCTTCTTGAGGAACATCACGTGGGCGCAGTCTCTGAGTTTCCATCAGCACGCTCAGTTGAGGAGGACCGTCATAAACGAGAGATTCTGTTGGATACATTTGAGTCTTCCGTCAAAACCGAATGGGTAGGAAAATGCGAGTATTTGTACTGTCTACAATCGTTTGAGGGGCACACTGTTATGACGAATATGCACCGTGTCCCTAACGTTATACAGGTCCCCTGCGTTGTTTTATTCTGGCCAGAGCAACCGTACCATTCTCGTTGATCTCGTTCTTGCTTGCGGTGGATTGAGTTGGTAGATTAGGGAAAGCCATGGTGACTTTGTGGGACGGTGTAGATTCCTTCTGCTGTTCTTTTTTGTTGCAAAACGCGATGCCCCACTTTATTATTTTAATTTTTGCGCCTATATCCCCCTATTCGTTTTGAGCTGAACGTGAATCGTTCTTTGACCTTGTCATCGGACGTGTTGTTCAAGTCAACTGGTGGTTTTGCCATCTGGAAATCACGTGGCCTTGAGTCTGTGTTGACCTTGGGATCCGTCAGGAACTAGCAGTTCCCAAACCTGTGTATAGAAGCCGGCATAGCCTCACAACTTGTGTTTAGCATTTGTAGATAAGTCTCCATTTGAAAACTTTGGCTTTCGGGGTTTTGCCCGTAACTCGAGGTGATCCAACGGACTGCTGTATACTATCTATAATCACTGTCTGTTTCTCACCCACCTATGTTCGTCAGGTTGTGTTGAACAAAGAACCCTAAATGGAACGAAAAAATGAGCCTTCCATAATTCTGAAACAATGAAATGGGAATCCAAAAATCCACTGACGGGTTTGAAAAAGTACGTCTGACTGCGAGAAGACCAACTTCCACCCATAAATTGCACAAGTTCTCGCTTAACCTGAAATGTGTTCACGATCAGGGTTTTTCATCCCATCTCAGCGTAGGATGCAGTATATACTGAGAAAATCAAATGAGTTAATCAATAGTTGAGTGGGTATATGGCTGGAGAATAAGCCTCCCAATCCTGGGTCTTTCAAATTGATGATGGAATGAGACAAAAACGACATCCACGCTTTTTTTCTGGTGGCATGAATGTGGGCTTTGGTTAGAAAATGTCCCATCACCAAACAAAAACGTATCCAAAATCACAAAGGTTCGTAATTCACGTCATCACCGAATTTTATTACGTCACTTAACTTTGCCTACTGTTTAACTGCCGAACCACTGTATAATATATGGGGCAGGAGTCATTGGATGACCTCAGATCTGCTAACTTTTTTTTGCGTATGATCCGTGCATGCGTTGCTATGTTGCAGTTTGATGTTATACAACCCTAACTGCCCAAAGCGCGATTACATTGATACAGAAATATCATTGTGATACGTATTCTCGTTGCGATCACCGATGCAAATACGATTTTCTTTCAAAACGTCAAGTAGACATTCAAGATTGAAAACTCGAATTTATCCCCTTGTCTACCTACTCAAACACGGTAAGTAGTTTATAAGTGGTTCATTTAATGTCTTCATACCCATCAAATCAAACCTACAAAGATTCCATCATATACGCAGAAACGATAAATCCATATCCAGAGAGATGGTTTTCTCCCATCCCATAAGGGTTTCCTGGAGAAAGGTGGCCAAAGCTACACAAAAATACACCAAATGTACCCAACCCTTTATCAGGGTGAGTGGTAATCACGACCAACCCTCAGTTAAACACCCATGAATAAACAATACCCTGGTGTGAGCGTAGAACAATGTTATGTGTACTGTACTCAAAACATTGGTCAGCAAACTCTTTTTCAGCTGCTCCATAATTCATGGAGCTGCGAGCTACATGCTGGGCATCGACATACATAGTATCAGCCAGGCAAACTGTTTTGTCTTCGAAAATTTGCGGGTTTGACTGTTGCCGATGATTCGTGAAATGCAATATTTGTAAGCGGTTATCGACTTGACGGTATAGCCTGGATACAGGAGTTCTAGCTAGCTGTTTTTGCATTGTTGAGTCACTGGGCATTCAGACATATCCCTTGGAAGAGTTAGGAATTTCAGCTTTCACAAATTTGTACGTTGGTGTCTGTGGGTGCTTATGACTTCCTTTTGAAGTAGTTGTCAGCAAGCGCGTCGAGAAAAGCACTTACGTTCACTTCGCTCTGGACTGCTGGCGTTGAGTAAGCAGAACAGTAGGCGATCCCCTCGGCCGTATAATTTTTACTCGATTACGACGACAGCACCGACCAGTTTTGCGACCGATGCTGGCTTTAACGATTGTGGCGACCCAAATCTGAAGTATATTTCCATCCAAGCTTTTATTCACTTGCGTCACCGGAATTTCATTACTGAACGCGTCTAGTAGCGTGGTTTGTGAGGGCTCATATTTAAGGAACTTCCCCCGCTCCGGCGCCTCAGTGTCGGAAGCAGACACACAGCAAGGAACAGAATGGTTATTTTGCGAAAAGCGGGTTCAAAAATTACAGGGAGCATCTTGGTACCTAATCCGCAATTCTTACCTGGAATCAAGGCGTTGTGTGGCCATGTATCAGCGACTGCATTGCTGGACTGATTGACTGCTTCAGCGTCTAATCAGCAACTGGCTTTGCTGGCCTCTCTTACGTCCTCTCCATTGCGATTTTGTGCAATTTGAGGGTTTCAGTAAGTTCCGGTCATCCTGCAATAAAATTCGGGAAACTGACTTTCCTTACACCAGATTTCTTGAGTCTTCCTTCCCTCCAAATTTAAGAACAGTGGGCCGGGTCTATCAAAAATAGAGAGCCTCAATCCGCTGGACTTTCTGCGCCACACACAGGAAATGTGCTTGGAGGTTCATTCCACTGCATGTTTGTAGGCAACCAGCAGCAACATGGGTGGCGAACAAAACATGGGATTCCTTCTGGTGGTTGACGAGATCACGTTTTACTCCAAGACGTGTAAATCAAATTATTCTTGAAATCACATAGAATCATGTCAGTTTCAGACGCCCACAAACCAAAGAGGCCATCATGTTCAGGTGGGATTTCCGATTTGTAAAGTGCATTTTCAACAGAAGGCATATCAAAGCACTCATACTGCCTTCAGCTCGTAAGGTTTGCGCGGGTTTATCATCGCTTCCTGATCCAAATAGGATAAAAGAAAATCTGGCTACGCGTGTCCCCGACTTGGAAAATGGTAAAAAAAAATGCGGCAGAAAGTGGTGAGCAAACATGCACTAGTATGAATGTAAACCAAAATCACAGAGAAACGTAAATTACTTGCTTCAACACTCCGCAGGACCTTCGGTGTCATTCAACCAGAAGCGTCGTCAAATCATCGATTTACGCAGTTAGTAGACACAGCTTCTGAGAATTTCCCATATTTCAGTCCAAATAATTTGTCAAGTTATAGGCTGACTTACACCAAACACAATTTTGCTGGGTGATTTTTGAAACAAAAAGCCGTATCAATGTCTTCATGGACCAAAGTTATCAGCGATGAAGCCAGATGCCATGTGAAACCGTTTTGAGTACCCGGTTTACTGCTCAGTACTGTCAGAAACACGTGGTCATTCAACGAAATTATCCACATTTGTCCTAGAACACGCCACAAATCATCAGCGTGCACACATTGTTGAAAGAACTTTGCCCAAATGATCAGTCATTGAACAAGGTGATCAAATTTGCCAATGATACACTGGTTAGCAAGCACTTTGTACCGCAGACCTATGAGATTTGTGGTGGACAGCTTTTTTCACACTGTCGCCATACGTGTGTAGGGCAAAGTTCGATGTAAAGGAGGCGCAGAGTATAAAATTCCAGACAGATGAAGCTTCAAGTAAGCCTAGGTATAATGCATCATTGTTCGCTACTGATTGCGTTCCTGTTCTGCCTCGACCGTGCTACATGGTTGGAAGGCGCCGGTGTCCACAATTGGTCCTCGATATTTAACCAAAAGCCGTCAAAGAACTGGGTTGTCCTTGTCGCCGGGTCGAACACATGGGAAAATTATCGGCATCAAGTATGTTTCAGTTGGCGTTTTTATTGTTTTGTGTCCCGAAACTTTTCTAAACCACTTTTATGATTTCCATCTCTACCATTTCCACGAAATGGTTTTCGAAGCGGAAATTTGCACTAGTGGTTCCCCAAACAGTTGTGTTCTACCTAATTATATATATGGCCGTAATGATTCACTAAAAAAACGGCTGATCAAATCCATAACTAATGGGTAAACATTTCTTGGCATGCGTTGGTTTTCGACAGCATTTCCTTGTCGTGCTATGATATTTCATTTTGTGTGGGGTCGATTCCACAGACCTCTTAAGCGCAGATGCTACTGAGGTGCATACCGTGATTCACCTTAGTCGGAGACAAACATCGTCACTTGAAATTGTTTGGGTGATCTTTAAGCCACCACAAATCATCTAACCTTCCTTTGTAGCTTCATCATATTTGAGAAACTCCCCTAGACTCCGCGGTACCGCAGTACTTAGAGTGACCTGATTAACAAACTAGGTCTCAGAAATCTCATCATAGACCACTCACATTGCAGCGACATCAGTTGTTACACCAAACAGATCGACTTTGAGAGCACCGGAATTGCCATGCAATTGAGGAAGTAATTTTATACTACTTGGTAAGATCGACTAGTGTTTATTACAAACAAACGTATGGAATATCACTCTGATTAAATTCACCCGTCCGCTGGTGCCTTATTTGTTATGGGTTTATATAAGAGCCGTATGTAAAACGGTTACACATATTGAATGGGTTTGTATCCAATAATAAGATCCAGTTGGTGCGCATGTCATCGTTTTGACACTTGACGAACTTTGAAGCTGTGGTCCACACAACCCCCGGAAGCCTGGAATACCGCTTCCTGTTCTTAGGTCTTGTCTTCGAATTCCTTCGTGAAGTAGAACATGCAACCGATTATTTTTCAAGCCTTCGGAGGCTCCACGTTCAGTGTCATGACTCCATCGGAGAAGCTGCAGTTGTTCAGTCGTTTAATTGTTAAAATTATTGATCCACTATTTAGTCATGTTTATCAGTGATTGCTTGGCTCATGGGGGCCTCTTTGAGCCTGTTGCCTGTACTAGCTGGCATAGAGAATGGACAACCCAACATTTTCTTGCTCCTACCAAATCTTCAGCATTCCGAGCCCACAAAGCTTCTCAACCCATACAGGCGCTCGTATTTTGCCAGAAGTCCGACTGTTCGTCGAGTGACTTTGTATTAGCTACCCGGAGGAAATCTAGTCCGAATTTCCAAGAAATTTAGACTGTTGTCTGTGATTCAATACTGGAATCTTGCAGAGAGCACTTTCGAGTAGGAGTTAATGACAGAACACACCGTGTCCGAAGGTTTCGAAGGCTTGTCGATGGTCAGCTGAGGTGTGCTCATCATCCAATTTCAGCAACAATAGTGCAACATAAATCAGCGACGAAAAAACGCTTGATTCGGGTTTACACAGATGCTGTGGAACGAGCGACGCCACATATAGCTAATGCTGATGTGCTCTGTCGGTTGGTTGCAGTTTGGTTTGAGTAAAGGAAAGTCATATGACGAAGCGGCATTGGCTTTTCCGAAGTTACTCCTGCAGGTCTCCAACACGTAATCATCACGAGCGTCCGCCGTTGTCCGCGCCTTTCAACTCCGGTGTTGAACCCACCCAAATGAGTCGCGGAAGCGCTAACTCTGCCTACTTGTGCATTCATGTCTTCGACAACCACAATAATATACGGACTCTTATCTCACCAAAACAAGGCACTCAGGACACCGTAGAAACTACCTGTGAAGGCATCAATGCTACATTCTCTTTGAGAGAAAGCAGAGAGAACAAATAGACAGCGTGTTTACTGGATATTCTTGAAGGTGTAGCAAGGAAGCAATTATCAAACCACTCAATGAGAAACCATTCAGCTCGGTGATCTAGAGCAAACAGCAGCGGCTTCCACATCACCAGAGGCGCGCAAGTGGAAGTGAGCGCAAACTCATGGAGAGATCAGTTCGGCAATCCCAGTGGGATCTTAAATCCTAATTTCGGAAGATACGGAAAGCGAGTCCGGCGAACAAGCATATTGTGCAGCTTGCTTTAGATTGACAGACGAACTGAAGAATAATTTCCGAGCTTCTAAGGCTGTGGCGACCGACCTGACCGCGGATATTGCAGTCGACGACAATGGAAAGCAAACGGATCCCTCAGGTATTGATAACGTGCCTACGTGGATGTGGCTACCCTCGGGTTGAGGATAGGGAGAATACCGGATATATGGTAGTGAAGGAAAGATGGGAGGCTTCATTTGTAGTCTTTTCCGCTTACTCGCCCTGCGGTATACAGCAGACCAGACAACCGAGTTGATGACACCAATCGCATCCGATGTAACTTGAGATCACTTGTTAGCGTGCAACCCATGTTTGTAATTCGGCTGTGATACTACCAGTGTAAGGAGGAATTCCCTCCACCACGAAGTCCTTTATTCGCATGCACCAACTAAGGAGTCAAAATTAGGAAACACGAAAGTAAACGTCTCATCTGTTCATAGTTTTCGAAAACAAACATTCTCAAGAGTCTGACGCTATCGTAAACGGACACACAAGTTTCGTAGGAACATTCACCTTCAATTTGACGCGGCGCGGATCTTCGAGAAGGCCACAGACTACTCACGTGCCTGATCAGTAGTATCCAGCGTTCCAGTAGGACACACAGTGATGGAAAATGTGTCTACGAGAACGTCGCTACCACTTGGTTGAGGAAAGTGTGAATACCGGCTAGATGAAAAGAAATGAAGGGAAGGAATGAAGGAAGGATTCAGTAGTACTCACCCTGCGGTACACAGCAGACAAGGCAACCGGGTGGTGACACCAATCCCGGCCGACGTGACATGAGATCAATTGTAGGCGTGCAATTCATAATTCGCATAATCTGTGATACCACCAGTGTAAGGAGGAGTTCCCACGAAGTCCTTTATTCACAAGCACCAACTAAGGAGTCAAAATTATGGAACACGAAAATAAACGTCTCATCTGTTCAGAGTGAAAAATACGCTATTGTAAACGGACACCGTAAAGCATTTCCACAAGTTCCGTAGTAACATACACCTTCATTCGGACGCGGCGCGGAGCTCCAAGAAGACCACAGACTACTCGCATTCCTCATCAGTAGTATCCGGCCTTCCATTTGGACACCCAGGGATAGAAAATGTCTTCGATTAAGGCCTTTATCCCAAGAGCCTAGTTGCACTGGTAGATTTCCGGATTGTGCAGACAGCCAGAGGAGAAGTCCCAACCCCCAACATGGATGATTTCTATCCAATGACCAACCTGGTATGGAAGGCTCGATGAGTGTCACATATACACTGCTCAGTGCGTTGTTGAGGTGTACAAACCGCCAGCCTCTTGAGATCCTATTCCCCCTCTCCGACAGACCCAGATACACCATACACTGACAACAGGCGAACAGGAACACCCTTTGAGGTCCTTCCAGGTGTTCGTTTCATCTAGAGGGCTCGTGGATGAAGCATCTCCAATACCAATCCGTGGTCATTAAGATGATCGTAGTTCTAAGTCAGACACACAGTTGGTTAAGCAATGACCAGATGTAACATCTCATGATCAACAATTATCACTATTTCATCTTTATGAGTAAACACATTGGTGTGATGAACAATCTCGTTTGCTTTATTCTCTTACCCGAGTGAACAGCTGTTCCTGATGATATTCGATAGTGATGGAGATTGACGGCCGTGGAAATTATCCAGCCATTGATGTGCAACCCGTTCAAGCATTTGACGCACTCGCTTCCGAAAGAATTACCAATACACTTTCGACATAAATTTTGGCAACGCAAAATTAACGCAGTTTAATTGTTATTCATAACGGCATATGAAACAAAACAGCCATGCCGTGTTATCACGAAAGCATTCTATGAGAACCAGTGTGCCAGCCATGAAGCCAACTTGTCTCATGTAATGGTGTCCGGGGAAGCGAATAATCCTTAAGCAGCTAAACAATATTGACAATAAGTTTGAATTTACCATACGACGATTTGAGATGTTTTCGTTTCTCGGAAAAATCCCCATCAAACCGCGGCGCAAAGTAATCAGCTGCTCGTGGCCAATCGGCTCAGCCCCCTAGTGATTGCCGGTGTTCGGGACTCTCGGGAGAAGCATGAAATGCTCAGTACAGATAATTCCCAATAAGAATGCATCGATTGCATAGTGAACCTGGACGTTCGGGCAGAGCTTGGCCTCAGATTTAAAATCCCAAGCAATGTATCTCAGCTCGGCAACAGCGAAAATATCTGACTAGTTAGTTGCCGTGCCCAGACTCAAGAAATTAATTAACGGAAACGCCTGAGAGTAGGTTACATTCGAATTATATGCGCAGGGCTAATGAATGAGTCCAAATGCTTTTGAAAGAAATGATACTCCACCAACTATGGATGCTTCCTCACCTGTCATTTGTTTTCTCATTCAGGCGAACGTTTACCACGCGTATCAAGTCGTGCGTAAAAACAAAGTTCCAGCGGAGAATATAATCACCTTCGCCTACGACGATATTGCAAACAACCCCAAGTAAATAGCACTTACAATGTTTGCCATCTGATAGTAATTAGACCGTAGAAATCACTTTCCGCTATCCGGCTTCGAAGTGTCCCATTTTCGAGCCGTAAATTTCACCTATATAAATCACGAATGGAATGGGGTTGGAGTGAACTCCGTGCTTTTGTGCGTCAACATAAACTTTCGACCCTTTCATGACATTTCATGACACCAAACGCCATATAAACTGATGCAATCAACACAATCGATACCGGATCAAATTCCAGTCATTGTGGTATATCCTCGCTGGTGAATAGCGAATTTTAACTACGTTTAATTTGTCAGTAGTCTGAAATTAATAACGTGAATACCAAGGTGTCGTTTGGATGCATCAGCCAGCTGATGATTTGGGGCGGACAACCCAGCTGTCTTAACACTTTATAATACAGCTGATTGCTGGGATTAGTGGAGGAAACCTTCTCCTGACTTGAAAAATTAATTCTTGCTTCGAGGTTGTAATAATCGTAAGCCGTTTATTGCCCAATCCAATTACAACGTTCAAGGGCACTGGGTGAGGATATGCTCATATAATCTGTTACTAGTGGTGTTTCGCTGTATATTCACATAGAAAATTATTTTTTCACATAAAATTTTCAATGTTCTATGTTGTCTACCTACCGCGATCATTGTGGGAACTATACATCAGTTAAAACTTAATCTTGAGTGTGCCACACGGTGCACTCATCGGCGTGAAAATTCCTTGAAAAACGGGACCAGAAACCGAATTCAAACGGAAGTTGCGAGCATTTCATTTCCTTCCATTTGACCTGCATGTTAATTTCTTCCAAAAAGCACATTGCCAATTTTTATTCCTTTATTCCAGGAATCCGTTCAAAGGCGAAGTGTTCCATGACTACGAGCACGAAGATGTTTACAAGGGTGTGGTAATTGACTACCGTGGAAAAGTATGTCCATGCGCAACAATTAAATGAATTTGTTCCTTCTGTAACACAAAGTGCAAGTGACATGACACTGCGTATAAAAACACAACAGTAACCGTAGGGCAGGCTAACCTATTTTACTACATTACATAACGGTAAATTTAGTTGAGCGAACACTTGTCGTAAGGTGATAGAGAACTCTCTCAGATACAGAGAGTTGTTCATGAATTCTATGCATCGACCATCTTCTGGAAACTGTGGTACCTCCTGGATTCGCCATTGGCAAACAGCATTCGATGGACACTGGATCAGGGTTGGCTACTGGTTCCAATCAGAGTTCGTCTTGGCAACCTGTCAACTGATCGTGCCTGTTTAACTGTTTCAGGACGTCAAGCCGGATATCTTCGTGAAAGTACTGGAAGGCGATAAGAACCTTGAAAAAGAAGGGAAGAATGTGTTAAAAAGGTGAGTTCGCGCGGAAGTAGACATTGCTGATGCACTTTCTGATCACAGCCATAATTCTAGTGTTGCAGGTCAGCGTTTTCGGATTTGCGAAACGCCTGTTTATTATTCTCGTACGTCATGTGGTACATAACCTCACAGGAGTCAGTCAAAAAAGATTTGCTCTACTCCAGGAGAAACCCGGTTTATCAAATTCAAACTATGCGTTATTATTATTATATCACAGGCATTCATCCCCACTGGTAACAAGTTTCCAAAATGTTCAGATATGCTCAGTTGTGAATGGTTAACTATCTGCCCGGTCTTGTACAACTTGCGGTCGGTGGATCTTGGTTAGCTCGAATGCAGGAGTTGTGTTAACTAAATGTTCAGTATGCTCAGTTGTGAATGGTTAAATATCTGCCCGGTCTTGTACAACTTGCGGTCGGTGGATCTTGGTTAGCTCGGATGCGGGAGTTGGGTTAACTCATTGTGTTGTCTCAAACAATAGATAATCGAAATCCAAGTTCACTTGCAGTCTTGTTTATTGATTGAATAGTAGTTTCTCAATCCCGTATTGCCATCCACCGATAATGCTCTCATCTTTTAGAATACCTGCCTCATCTTGGGTTCCATGTGGTTTGTTAACGTCACAGTTAATCTTTTGGGAATCTTTCCACGGCTTCTTGACCCGCATATGACGAGATGGGGGCATAGAGAGACAAGCTAGGAAAGCGGAAAAACGTTTAAGCACTTGCAAATCATTAATCTCTCATCCGGTGAGTTATACACTGTATGGATGTTGAGATGGAGAAAAAAAGATAGTCTTTATAATAGGTAATCAAGAGCGATAAAGTCTCTTGCAAAATGAGAACAGTGTTATTTATCAACGGAAAGAGCCTTCACTCAAACAAACTCCGAAAAATCAGGCTATAGCACAACAGGAAATCAGAAAAACCAATCAAAATGAACTACTAAAATCAGACGTCGGATTGATAACCAATCAAAAGTGGGGAAGGAGACCGTGACACAACAGAAATCGGTAACCGATCAACAAGACCATGAACAAGTGGTCCTCAGAGAGAAAATACTCGAGTTCCGGGAATGCAGACCATATACAGCAACTGCATTTTCCGACAGAATATATCGTTGGGCATATTCAGGGAATACAGACCGCAAAGCAGTGCACCTCGAAATGGACCGGCAGGTATGCTATCGTCAGTCGCATAATATCAGGCAGGTACGGAAGGACTACCGACTCAACCGTTCACTCATGATGTCACTTCGGTTGGTGACGGAACATTTGCAAACCGATCACCAGGATCAGAGAACAGATGAGCACTCTCTTGTTCAACGACCAACAAACGAGCATATGGCTTCGTGGATGTCCGTGTTCGAAATATAGGTTCCTCTCTCACCTTGATTATAATATTGTTTCTCAGTAGTGAATACACCATGGGGATATTTTCATAAACAGATTTAATTATGCTGCCGAAAGCGTGATTTCGAAAGAGCTGAGTGTCACCGTTCCAATGGCAAGATGATAAAACTAGCTAAATTGGAAAACTGCCTCGAACCACCTTCATACATTGAAAACCATAGGAGCTACTATATCGCGTGATATGACAGCTAACCATCAGGCGTTCGAAAAATCCACTGTTCATTCCCATATTCATTTGGTCATGCAAATAGCACACTAATGGAATTTAATTTAGCTACTGATTATATCCAGTAGCATGTACCAAACAATATTCTGACCTGTGTGTTCGTTATCCATTCACTTCATTCGTGTTAAGTGCTCCGTAGATAAGCCGCATAGGAATTGTGCGGATAAATGACTCAAAGTTGAACACATTTCTTTTACACATCATATAATCGTGTGCCATTGACAGAAATGAACAGTGGAACTTTTTATATCCTTCTAATTACCAGTTAACCGGGGCCGTTCACGTTACCACAATCCGGCTTCTGCAAGCTATGACAAACCCATATTTTTCGGGAAAATTGCCGCTTCCGCGGCTTTTTTTTATTGTGCTTTTCTATGTGCGAGAGTGCCATCCAATAAGCTACTCTTCAACACCTTCCTCACATTCCCGTTCCCCTTGCAGCGGTCCTGATGACAACGTTTTCATCTACTACACTGGCCATGGTGCGCCTCACTATATTACCTTCCCTGAGGGAAGTGTAAGTTTTGTTAATATTTCCAACCAAGGTTAAAGCACACAGCTTTTCCGATAGGAGGCTGAATTGTGACCGGAGCGAAGAGGCGCATTGTCACCCGTGGTTCCTTAGAAAACAGAGTATATAGTTGGGTACAACTGGCCTACACATTCACCGAATGATGGAAAAGACGTTCGGACGTCTCTCCCTGTCAAGTTCGGTAGGCCTTGTCAAGGTGCTATATTGATCATATTACATAGATTTCGATTTGCTAATTTCAAGGTCGCTCAAGTCACATGATTTCGCAGTTGATCCATTGAGACTGTTGAGCAAGCGTAGATACGATAAACAAAGAAACTGGTCATATACGGTCACTCACGAGACGTAGATGATACGAAGACTAGATGCTCTTTTTTTTACTTCTCAAGAGATAGCCCGAATCTTTGGTAATATGAATAGGTCCTCATGCACTGTATAAAAATGCAGTCTGTGATGAAAAGCCATCCTTGTTGGAAATCATCATTGGTGCGCTTTGTAGTTGCAACATTTAACCGTTCGTCCACGGGCTGTCGGCCAACCGACAGCCTGATTTATCCGCACTTAGTCAGGATATAACGTCGCTCATCCTTCAATCAGCGGAACCACATCACTGGTGACTTCCTCCTCGAATGACAATTCATATAGGTAATCCATCCGCCCTGTGAAATATTGTTCCTTCTGTACTAATTACAATCTGTCAGTAGTGAGATGACATTTGGAATTTTTTTGCAATTCAATGGAAATCACCCTAAATTTTCGCAAAACATGATTAGGGCTTGGATTTCCTCCCCGGATGGACTTGACTTACGGGACGGCAGTTCGCTTCTCAACAAGCAGTACAAAACGTATGCTGCAATTCTTTTTAGCAAGGCCTCATTCACTCTAATAGGGGCCCTTTGTCCTGAGCGCATTCATGTGGCTTTTGAGTGTTGTATTCATTTTTTACTATGCAACCAAACATAGTTAAGTCCATCACGGTGAATGGGATGTGGAAATGGTTAAAAATGGCCGTGAAATTGACACTCGGAGTGATCTGAAAATACCAAACATATTAAGTCCATCACGGTGAATGGGATGTGGAAATGGTTAAAAATGGCCGTGAAATTGACACTCGGAGTGATCTGAAAATTAGTCGTCCCAACCGGCAACCCATTATTCTGAATTTGTGACTGCAAGCTTATTCACACTAACATTGGTCTTTGCGTGCCCTTTCCAAGGAAGATTTACTGGCTATCACCAGGATAGCTGACTAACACTACAGAGGACTTGGTGGCACTGATATTCCAAGAAAACAAAGACAATACACAAGGTATTCGGTGATAACTTCAGGAGGACTAAACAAAGCGCATTCAACCGTAATCCTTCAACTGATCTTGGTGGATGGTATTTCCAAAAACTCAATAGTCGTTCAGCTATATAATTGTTCGAGCTCATAGGAACTTTCTTTTGTGCCTTGCTACAGCTCGCTGCCACGGAATTGAACGGTATCCTCGTCAAAATGCATACAAACAAAAAGTATAACAAGTTGGTGATTTACATGGATTGTTGCTACTCTGGTTCTATGTTTCGCGGTATTCTTTCTCCAGATGTGGGAAGTAAGTGGCGTGTTTTTTTTCTGGCTCTCGTAGAGATCCGGTGATATGGTTAAAATACCGCACTGGCCACTACAACAAAAAGGAAGTTGCAAGCATGGTTCATGCTTTTTCTCTTGTGATCCTTAAATGGAGGTAGTCTCTGGCCATCTGTAAGAAGCCTTTAGCCGGATAGTGAATAATATCCAAGCTTCACCTCTGCTGTTGAACTAGTTTCAGCTGGTTAGAAGAAGTCACTGTAATATCGGTGCAACACCTGTGATATCTGGGGTCCCTTTGCAGTGACCACCATTACCAGGTGGATACCGTCTTTGCAAATTATCAAAAGTACACTTCCACGGATCAAACAACAGGTATAATACCAGTGATGTGACTACCCTTCTGACGGGGGTTTTACCAGAGAAAAATCATATTACATATCTACACACTGATGTGATTTGGACGGCCAAACACAAGCGTGTTTGGCGACCTTCGTCAAGTCTGATTCCATGAAGTGATTAGGATTGAGAGAAATTCGAGGACTGCGCCTTTCTCATTAACCCCAAGATGCGTGGAAACCATGGTATTCTGCCAAAGACTTTTCAGCGACCCACTGATTAGTGTGTTTGCTTTCGAATTCTTGGAGCTACTCGTTTTCTGTGACACACCGTATATCAGTTCGTCGATAATATAACTCACAGTTTGACACTTTTTTGATAGTGATCCACGTGTTCTCTTGTGTAACCCCTCCCACCGAAAAAACTGCAGTCTTTGTGACAACGTCAGCCAAAGAAAATGAAGAAAGCTGGTCTATTAATTGCAATGACAAGCGAGTCGGTGTTTGTCTAGCAACCGAGTACTCGTATGGTTGGATTACAGATTCGGAATACGTGAGTTTTGTCAAAACTGTTGCAGATAAGCCTGTCAGTTGTGGATAGATAGTTCTATGGTAGTCGATTTGATTCTCTAAACCACTTGGTAGTGTACGATTAACGAGTTAGCCATACTCAATTATTAAGAAGTGTAAATCTTCAGGTGACAATGGAAGCTGGTGTTTCTGCAAGTCGGCAAATACTACTAACATGTGTGAACACTCGGCCAAGGTTTTGTTTTGCCTTCTGGAACTTCTTGCTCGCGCCCCGCGCAGACGTATGCTGTTAAAACCCCCGCCCCTAGATTTGAACATCGATGCTTGCGCCTATTCAACCATCATTCGGCTAACGAATACTTGGTAGTATGTGGCTTGCTAGGCAACATAGTATTTGACGGTGCCGTCAACGTGAACTTGTCCCATCGTTCCAAAACTGAACCTCAGAATACAGGTAGGCCATGTGGAGTGACATGGTGGGATGTTTCATTTCTGGATTAGTTCAGCTCGCATCGAGCTCGGCAAAGCTATATCGCTGACCGGCCCCGCTACTTGGCACGGAAGGGTCGGTGTTGAACACGGATGATGATGGTGGTGATGATGATGATGATGATGATGATGATGATGATGATGATGATGATGATGATGATGATGATGATGATGATGATGATGATGATGATGATTGCCCCAGAGCCTCTAATCCTTAACATGTTGATGGGTATAGCGTCCTGGCACAGCGTAGTGGTCTGTGATTCATTAGTAGTAGGCTTTGGTTTATTCTTTGGTTGTCTCACCTCTAGTGATGGTTTTACTAGCCATGTGTTACGCGCGCGTGACTCGAGCAACAGTACGAGAGGCGAACACTGATGATTCGCTGCGGATGACGCCGATGCTCATGATGAGGATGATGATGATGATGATGACGATGATGATGATGATGATGATGACGATGATGATGATGATGATGATGACGATGATGATGATGATGATGATGACGATGATGATGATGATGATGATGACGATGATGATGATGATGATGATGACGATGATGATGATGATGATGATGACGCTAGACTTCCTGAACGTTTCTTCTTAACAAGTCTGTCGAAATGAAGCACAAAAACAGAGTGTTCAGCAGAATAGACATTCATTTGGGTGTCACATCGCAATTTGAGTCTTTCTATTTTCTCGCGCACCCTACCTAATAACGAATAACTAGCATTCAAATATTGCCCTAGCAGACGATACTTCCTTTCAAAAAGTTCATCCAACATTGCAAGCCAAGTTGGCTGGGTCATGTGTGGCGCATGTCCAATTACTGGCTGTCGAGGGGGGTGTTGTAATCCGTGCCCACTCCGGATCGTCATAAACCTAAAGGTGGACAGAACTTGACATGGCAGAAGGGAATTAAGGATTCCATGAAAAAGTTGTGTTGTATGTGTATGGTGTCCCGGAACAGTGGACTCATCACTGGTTCATCAGTAGTATGTGTCGTTCCATAGCTCGGTTGTCTTAACTCTAGTGATTTCACTTGTTTTGCCTACATTGGATCCATCTCAAAGTTGTGCCAGCTGATCCGTCTGCTTCATATAGCCTCCCTTTGTCATTTTTTCTCACCCGCGCGCAGAAAGACTTGAAAAAGCGTACACTGTATTAACAGTACGATGAGGTGAAGAGGAGGTCTGTATCCAATAATAAGATCCAGTTGGTGCGCATGTCATCGTTTTGACACTTGACGAACTTTGAAGCTGTGGTCTACACAACCCCCGGAAGCCTGGAATACCGCTTCCTGTTCTTAGGTCCTGTCCTTCGAATTCTTCGTGGAACGACATAAAGTAGGCACAGGAAACATTCTTGTCACGATGGAAGTCAAGCTAACTCCTCGGTGACAGATACACTCACATAGGGCCTCATCGAATCAACTCAGCTTGTTCAGACTGTTTCTCCCGCCAAGGAAAAGCAAATCAGTTAGACAAACTACGACAGAGTATCTCACCGCCATGTTTAATCGGAGTGGTTTCCAGTTGGTCAGGACCACCAGCTTGATAACTCTTGAAGTAGAACATGCAACCGATTATTTTTCAAGCCTTCGGAGGCTCCACGTTCAGTGTCATGACTCCATCGGAGAAGCTGCAGTTGTTCAGTCGTTTAATTGTTAAAATTATTGATCCACTATTTAGTCATGTTTATCAGTTATTGCTTGGCTCATGGGGGCCTCTTTGAGCCTGTTGCCTGTACTAGCTGGTATAGAGAAAGAACAACCCAACATTTTCTTGCTCCTTCCAAATCTTTAGCTTTCCGAGCCCACAAAGCTTCTCAACCCACGCAGGCGCTCAGTGGAGTGATCATTGGTTCATCAGCAGTATGTGTCGTTCCATAACTCGTGTGCCTTAACTCTAGTGGTTCCACTTGTTTTGCCTACATTAAATCCATCTCACACTTGCGTAAGCTGATCCATCTGCTTCATATAGCCTCCCTTTGTCATTTTTTCTCACCCGCGCGCAGAAAGACTTGAAAAAGCGTACACTGTATCAACAGTACGATGAGGTGAAGAGGAGGACCAAATATAGCAATGTGATGAGATACGGTGATATGGTAAGTCACAAAATGTCACTGAGAGAATCAGTTGAGTCATTGCGAAGAGCCAAACTGTGATGAAAATGAGCGTATTTGTCGACATGACAGTGGCATTTCGTCACCCTTGAAAGGTGACGGTCAAGGTTCAATATATTTGATTAGGGATTTGAGGATGCATAGACGAAGTTCAGCAATTCAGCCAGTCCAGGTATCTAGATATGCATGACTAGCCCGTGTCATCTTTTGCATAACCAACCAATGACATTGGGTGAGTTGTTCTTTGTACCTTCTGTTCTATGTTACAAAATAAACTCAAATCTATATGAATCCTCCACAAGTAACTCAGGGGAAGAAAAGGTTTACACGATGACTGAAACTCTCATCTGAGAAATTATCACTTGAGGAGCCAGTGAATATGTGGCCACGTGGTGTGGTTTCACGTGATTGAACGATGAGTGACGCTGTGCGCTGTCTAAGTGAAAGCCAGTCACACTGCTGATCAATCCCTTGTGGTTGAACGGTCAAGTATTCAACCATTGGCCGGAAGGTCACCAGTTCGTCCTTCCCTCTGGAGTGAGATGCGCACTGCTGCTGAGTCCCAATAAAAAGGAAACAGCCATATACCGCATCTCGGTGTTTCAGCGTAGATTGTTTTCACTGACCGGATGAAAAATCCATTCAGAAGAGAGAATTCTGCTAGGCGACAAAAAGCGAAAATGCACGATTACACGGGTACAGGCGATCGATATAAGTATGCCACAGTCTCATTGTGGTTCGATTCACGTTTAAACTATACAATTTGACGACGTCTTTAGCGAGATATCCAGCTGAGTTAAACCATTCAGTGAGATATTCTGGCTCCATGCCAACCTAAGACCCATTTTTATGTACACATCACTGGTGAACGAGCTATTTGTACTTTCTACCGAGTAGTGTGTGTCATTACAAGACTTTCTCTGATCAAACACAATGATGCTATGATTTCCTTCATTTTGTAGTCCTGAGATGTTGAAAAGCTTGGTTTGAATATTGGAATAATTTATGCAAGTTTTATCAGCTAACAGGCAACAAAATCGAGAGAGCTCACTGTTACCGAACTAGCGAGTACCACCAAGCCGATATTCGGGATGTACGCCAGTAAATCGAATACTGTGCCTCGGTGCGATCCGCAGAAATTTATTCAGTGTAATCTTGAATTTCCTCACGGACCTGAACGAGCAAACTTGGATGATTCGGTGAACATCAGTGCTGCACACTAGTGTTTGGGAAACAGTTTCGGAAGTGATGTTTATTGATCAATCGGATCCTTCAACACGAACACGTGGGACCTAAGTGTAGAACCTCGGTTGTAGAGTAAACCGCTTCTTCATTGTGTGGAATAAGACGCAATCTTAGTTGATAATGCACTGATAGGTGTCTGTTTATCGTTTATTTCAGGAGATGGGAAGGCTGCCAGTTGGAAAGTTCCAAGGTCATTATGATCTATTAACGCACCGGAATGATGTGGCAATATCAGTATGTGTTCAGCGCAATTTTCGATATTTCGAATTATCTATGGGGATAGTCACTACATATGCCATCATATGTTTAGGGAACAACGTGACCATTGAACAGTCCGATCCCAGTCTAATTAGTTGGGCAGCTTTGAAATCGATTGTGTCAATTACTTCAGTGACAGAAACGCTTTCCACCATTAGAGTCGATATCGCCCCAGGCCTCCCAGTTAAGTGCAGGCACCTACCTTTTCCCACAATCAGCGAACTGGTCAGGTTCTCTACTTCATATCCCAAACTGGTGTTACTGCCAGTGTCTTAAGGGATTTACCGTAGTTCAGTTTTGCCCGTTTGATTTGGAAAACCAGCTATTTGAGTGATCATGCTACGTTCGGCTACCGGAGAGGCCGTTCCTCTCTCTCGATAGTGAGAACATGGGTGATTGGTGCACAAACCTCAACTACGTATCACCCGGTCTGTGAGATAATCATCAGCTTCTCTGACTGAATGACGTATACAAGAATACATACATATAAATATACATGCATACATACATACATACATACATATATACATACATACATACATACATATATACATACATACATACATACATATATACATACATACATACATACATATATACATACATACATACATACATATATACATACATACATACATACATATATACATACATACATACATACATATATACATACATACATACATACATATATACATACATACATACATACATATATACATACATACATACATACATATATACATACATACATACATACATATATACATACATACATACATACATATATACATACATACATACATACATATATACATACATACATACATACATATATACATACATACATACATACATATATACATACATACATACATACATAAAGACATAGAGACATACAGACATACCTATATCCACACAAACGTACACACATACAGACCCAAAGACAGAAAAGCGGACACATGAATGGACGCAAAAAATGCCCAATAGACATTACAGTAATAAACAACTAGACGGAAAGATGGAAAGCTTGACAGGTAGGCTCATGCATAGATAGATAGATAGATAGATAGATAGATAGATAGATAGATAGATAGATAGATAGATAGATAGATAGATAGATAGATAGATAGATAGATAGATAGATAGATAGATAGATAGATAGATAGATAGATAGATAGATAGATAGATAGATAGATAGATAGATAGATAGATAGATAGATAGATAGATAGATAGATAGATAGATAGATAGATAGATAGATAGATAGATAGATAGATAGATAGATAGATAGATAGATAGATAGATAGATAGATAGATAGATAGATAGATAGATAGATAGATAGATAGATAGATAGATAGATAGATAGATAGATAGATAGATAGATAGATAGATAGATAGATAGATAGATAGATAGATAGATAGATAGATAGATAGATAGATAGATAGATAGATAGATAGATAGATAGATAGATAGATAGATAGATAGATAGATGGACTCGGTATTTTCTCCTCAATAGTGAGTATTCTAGGAAGACAATTCTCCCAGTCATCATTGACAAAGCGCCTGTTGACAGCAAATGCTGTCCAACTGTTTTCTTCGTTCCAGCCTAATGTTGTAGATATAAAACCCTCTTCTCGGGTGCATTTGTCCTCAATGTCTCGACGCCTGATGGAGGCCGCTACCGAGGAAGAACACGAAACTGCTGGGCGAAACCTGCACCGTGCACTTCAGGTTTGTAGTTTCTTTTCTCACACAATTCATCTCAAAAATGGGACTGAATGCACGACGAAAAGATCGTTTTAGGTAAGAATTGATTTGTTTAGTGGAGAATACGTGTTGAGGATTCATGGGAGCAGGTAAACGGTAATCAGTTTAGTATTTTGGTGGCCGTTTCTTGAAAACCGAACGTGGTCCGTTCAGTTATGCGAGAAATCTTTTATAGTCTATCGATAACCTCCCACAACTCACCCTCTTGCTTTTTTCAGCTTGGCCACATCGTCAAGGAAACGTTTCACGACATCGTCATGGATGTGACAACCCACCATAAGCCAAAGGGCTTACCCAAGAGGGATGAGGTCATATGTTTCGAGGCCGTATTCGATCAATTCCAGACGCACTGCTTCACAATTCAGCAGGTCAGTTGACCTCGTGGTGCACGCAAACATGTGTGCACAAATATGTATGCCTTATTTGCCAACGCATTCACGCTTGTCGTCACCTAAGATTAGCATCCGTCCCAAAGAACTCCTGGTTAAACGTCCAACAATCGACCTTTACGGTAGGAAATTTCGGGGCAAATCTGGTGCTCACATCACTAACACTCTCATCCTTTCCTTGAAATTGGACGTTCATCCCGAAACGTGGTGTTCAACAGTTTGTGGGTTATTTTCCGAGGCGAGTTTATGTCTATGTCCGTTATCAACAGGGCGAATCATAGAAGGTGGAAAGTGATGTAGGTTAATCGGAATATTAAACAATACGAAAAGCTTCTATCATTCGGAGTGAGCATGTAAATATACCAAGATTGACAGCAGCTGAATGAGGTCGTCCGAGTACAGTTCAGTTCAGTTCAGTTCTCAGTTCAGTTCAGTTCAGTTCAGTTCAGTTCAGTTCAGTTCAGTTCAGTTCAGTTCAGTTCAGTTCAGTTCAGTTCAGTTCAGTTCAGTTCAGTTCAGTTCAGTTCAGTTCAGTTCAGTTCAGTTCAGTTCAGTTCAGTTCAGTTCAGTTCAGTTCAGTTCAGTTCAGTTCAGTTCAGTTCAGTTCAGCTCGTCGGACAAACCCTCTTGTCCTTCGTGGCATGAATAAACGCCTAGCCGTCCTAAACCGACCACCACGACAGGGTGATTGTTTTTTTTTCGGAAGTGATACTGGATAGTTCTAATGAAGGGTTCGTGTGTGCAACACTGCTAAAGAGTGTAGTGAAGCAATATTTGGCCAGCAGTTCTGGTTAAAGTTACTGGTATTGTTATTCAGATCGAACAATTTCGAGGAACATTTACCGAACAAATTGACGTCCAACCAACAGAATGCTGCGATAAAATGGTGGGAGGAGAAGCTCGAGTTCATACTGATATTTCTGTTTCATTTTTTCTGTGTGTCGTGGTTTCAGTGTTTCAAATACCTGTTGATGTAAATCACAAAAACCATTCTGTACACAGTAAGTTCACAAGCACAGGTGAACCCAAAACAACCCAGACACTTCCCTGTACGGATGAATAACTTTTATAAATCTGGCGAATTATTAACAAGCCAGGTGGTCTCAATAGGTTTCTCTTCCCTCACACTCACGATCGGCAGCAGTTGCAACCAGGATCCCATCTTGACATAGAAGTTCTTCACCATTTAAAATACCTCATTATCTGCAGAGTAGGATTAGCAACCTAAACTGGACTATTCAGATGGCTGCTGAAAGGTGTTGGCCAGCTCACGACCAGTTTTGCCACTTTCGGGGCTCAACAGGTAGGCGCACATCCTGAGTTTTCGACAACCTTCTGTTTCAGTTGAGCATTCATTTGAAGCAAAACACCATTAGTGAGATGCACCAGGATTCCTTGGAAGCATTGGTCAAAATCTGGTAGTTTGGATTCAAGTAGAACATGAGGTTGACGGGAACTCGCGGACTGCGACTATCTGCTGAGCCCAAAGACGAGCGAAACCGTTCATAGTAGTACTACGTGGATTTCCCACCATTTCACTAATCTGCTACGTAGCTGAAGACTTTCGCGTGTTCTTTGCTAACAGTGAGGGAGTTTATATCAAGAAGCTTCGAAATGTCCGAAGTTCAGATATGCTGATACTCCCCAACACCTCTCATAAGTAATTTTTCTAATCTCGGGCCCAGTATCCGCTTGGAGTTTATACAAGAAGCTTCGACATGTCCGAAGTTCAGATATGCTGATACTCCCCAACACCTCTCATAAGTAATTTTTCTAATCTCGGGGCCAGTATCCGCTTGATCTTTAGTGTGCATCACTGACAATCTTCCACACTCTTTAGCAGAGTTGGCACTTTTTTCAAGAATGCTGAATTCTGTTGGTGTATCCTAGGGTGAATCTTGTGTGAACACACATTCCTGTTCCTTTGATAGAATTCTTAGGCATTGGTCCAA